TGAAAACGTCGAAAGAGAATCGGAACTACGAAAGGAATGCAGAAACAATAATTACATTACTTGAAAAGCAATTTGCTTTATTTAAGGATAACCAAGTGTTTATGTCAATAACATGGATTGATCCAAAATATTGGTCACATCAAGGTCATGGTTTAAAAGGTAATGGTTTAAAAGAAATTAAGTACCTCATACTTCATTTTTGTGAACCACTTGAGGAAGCAAACTTTCGAGAAGCAATGGTTTTAGATGAGTGGAAATCAATACAAATAACAGTAAGAGCATTTTATTCAAAGTCTCCATGTTTAGATATTGGGAAAATTTATTCAAATACAAAAAATCAGAACTTCCAAATATCCTTATATTATCTGAGTTGTGCTTGTGTTTCTCTTCCTCTAACAGTACAGTAGAAAGATGTTTTAGAATGCTGACTACAATCCTTAGTGATCAACAACTTAGCATAAAGCATAATACAATGGAGCAGTGCATGATTATTGCTGGCAATAGCCATGTATGGATGGAGGACAAACATAATGTTGAATGTCAAGAAATTAGCTCAAATTCTTACATAACGAGAATTTGGAGCATTCAACAACAATGACAACTTTTCCAGCCATGAAAGTGTATTGTTTTTAGATAAACAAGTAGGAGAATACACCGACAATGACAATTTTTCCTATGATGGCAACTGATAATACCAAACTATTTAGATATCAAATTTTAATGATTTTTATTATATTGCAAAAAATTCTTGTTACATTAAAAAAAAAATATATTTTACAAAAAAATAGTAATATCTTTTTTAAGTAGTTGTTTGTATTGCAAAAAAAAATAATCTTTTAAAATTGCTCATAGTTCTTGCGTAAATAACAAAATATTTTTTTAACACTAATTGATAAAAATCTTGAATAACTTGTGTATTCTTTTTAATGTTGTTAAACTTGTGTGACTTAAAACTTTTTTTTTTTTTTATTTCTCTCTATCTCCTCTTGTATCCAATTTTGAAAAAAAAAGCCACCCTAAAAAAACGAAAATAAAAAAAGTACACAAATTATTTAAAATATTAATTTTTGCTTTTTATTTAAATTTATTTAAACTTCTTATTTTGTTAGATTTTTTATATAAATGCCTAATATAATAAATCTTGCAAACGACCATGATCAAGTTGTCTAAAATTAAAAATGTTTTCCTGGATGTACAAGACGAAAAACTGCATGCGTTTCCTGGGAAGGCTTGTATAGTAAAATCTTAAGCACATTATTTGTCTTACTAAGTTTGGTGGTTGTTTGTACGCAATTACTGGTTAAATACTTGAAAAAAAGAAAATAATAAAAAAAGAAAAGCTATAAAAAGAAGTCACCAAAGGAAAAACTTCTTTGGATTATTTTATTGGCGCTGACCCTTATAACTTTGCATTATGAAATGCTTTTGTTATTACATAACCAGAGTAATGACACTCTTCTAATCATATTTTAAGTTTTGCTAGAAATGATTTTTCTGTAGCATAATTAGACAATAAAAACAATTATTCTTCTAGCAAGGTTATATGGTATGTTCTTTTTTAAATGATATGGATGATGACTGTTGACTGAGGTTTAAATAGTCATAAGTGTTTGCTTCTTTGTAAAATATATTGGTTTTAATGTATTTGTTGTTTTCAAAGATAACCAATGTCTAGAGAATTAACAACATTATATAGTTCTTTGCTCTCTTTGAACTCGATACCAAAATCAATTGTATAATTAATTGAATCATGAAATTCTGTAGGGGACATTTGGAACATTTGTAATCACAGACAGCACTAAGAATTTTTGATTTTATAGAATTTGCAAAACTTCTGTGTTCTACATTTCACTCTTATATAAAGTTAAGTAATTCTGTTCTGGTGTCTGGTACTCCTGAAACAATGTTTAGTTTTTTTATTGTATAAACCAAAGAACATATGCTGAAATTAGTGGCAATCATCTCAACAATACTCTGTTTGCTTCAATTTTTAAAATTGTTTATATATAGAGTTAATTATAGAATTTATTTTAAATAATGAAAAGACAAAAAATATTTTTTAGATTTTATATTGTTTGTTTTGCTTGAGCTCCTTTTTATTATTATTATTCTTCTAAAAAGGTTTAATAGTCATGATTCCCTACTTGACAATTGACAAATTTTCATAATGCCACTTTCTCATTAAAACATGATATTATAAAAAAGTTAAAGCACTTTTTGATAACATTTCTGGTAATATCTTATGTTGCAGATCTGGACTGGGTATTTTTATTGTGATAACACTACTAAAACAACTCCAATAAAGATTTATGAGCTCATTTTCCTTTTACCCAAAACAAAATTTATAAAAAAACTACAGTTTTATATCAAAGTTTTAATACTCCTAGGTATATTGCCTTCACCATGGCTAGAAGCCACACCTACCAACAGTTTCTTTTCCTAACCACACCCATAAACTAAGAGATTTATATCAGAGTTTGCTATCACCAAGGTATATTGTAGACAAAATGGATATTATTTTACTTATAGACATGCTGATGTATTTTGGAAAAAAAAGTTTGAAACAAAATACTCTACAACAAAAAGACAACTAAAATTAAACAATCTAAAGTTAACAATACACATAAATTTGAATTTATAAACTTTAAATTATGTTAGCGATTTGCGTTACATTATGTTAGTGATGGCAGTTTTAGCCCGCACCCAGAATCTGACATTTTGTTGATGTATCTGACACTAGGTATCTCAAAAAATATTTTTAACAGATATAATTCTTAAGTGTTGTAACTAATAAAGTGCTGTAACTAATTATAAGTTCTGTAACTAATAAATAACAAAAATAATAAAACAAATCTTGTTTTAGTTTTACTTTAAATTGTGTAAAAATAATAAAAATAATAATAAAAATAATATTAAACAGATAAAAAATGCTGCTTCAATCAATAAACTTCTTCTCAGAAGGTGATAATTCCTATGTACTAATTCTAGAAGTGTCTCACTTGATTTACATTTTCGAATATACTTTTGCTTATTATATTGCAAAGTGTTAATATTGCAAAAAGGAAACTGATTTATACAAATATAAAAAAACCGTAAAGTAAAACGAAATATGATAATACTAAAGAAACAAAGAGAAATAGAAAGGGAAAAAACTAGTAAATGCTTCTTTTTATTGCTTAGAGCGTGAGAGAAAGATGCATTTTTCACAATTTTAATTGCAAAAAACAATTGAAGGTTTAATACTTTGTGCAGGTTGTTTTTAAGATTTTTTGCTAAAAATTATTTACTATAAATAAACCTTTAAACCAATGACCTTTTAACCAACATAGACAATTTTCAACTGAATTTTTTTCCTGTGAAGTTTGGGAAGTTGTATGAGAAATCAATGGTTTTTGCAGGGCCGACAACATGGTTTTTAAAGCACACTACCTTATTTTGAAAAAAATTCTTTGATTTCTTATAAAAATTGTCAATTTCTTTCGAAAAAAAAAAAAAAAAAAAAAAAAAAAGAAAGAAGGTCCACACAAAAAAAAGTAAGGGGAGAGGCGTGCCCCCTCAGAAACAAAAGGGGGCACACTCCCTTTTGTTTCTGAGGCAAGCAATCTATTACTGCGCCATGGCTGCAAAAAATGGAGAAATATTGCATAGTTTTAGGTGGGTTTTAATTCTTTTTTAGCTGTTTTTAAAAATCTAAATTCTGTTCAAATGAAATTTTCAATCAATTGTTGTTGGAAAAATTATTTGATTAATTATTTTTTGATTATTTCGAAAGCTTAAGAAATTAAAATTAAATACAGCAAAAAGTGTCTGAATTATTTTTTTTTAATACTTTTTTTAAATGGAGTCGGTGCTGGGTACCCAGTTTCAAACCCAGTTTTCACCACCAGGTACCGGGAAACGGGGACCCTGTGGTACTGGTTCCAGCACACCTCTATTAAATACTGATTTAAACACAATTATATTAATTAGTTTGATGGTGATGACAAGGAATCTAATGGAATAGGGAACCTTTTTAACATTTATATATTATTTCTTATTTCTCAGCGTTTAAAAACTTTAAATGAATTTTTTTTTTTTTTAATAAACCTAATTTTAAATAATTTTTTATTTATTTTTTTTAATTTCATGAAAAAAGCAAGTAAAGCCTTTCCATTACTCAAATGAAGTATTTATTTATGTTTTCTTGAAGAAATGTATTTTTGTGTGGAAGTTATGTATTATTGTATTAAACATATGCTTCTTTTTCTTTGCCTATTTTTTATTTTGATTTTGGTTAATTTTTGATGTTTTTTTATTTTATTTTGGTGCCATTACACAGCCAATTTTCAATTTTTTATACTTAAGTACAAGGCAATTTGTCAAAAAATTATTAGTTTTTCCAGCACAAAAAATGCAATAACTTGTAATATAAATATGTCAACCGCAAAAAAAACTTTTGGTATGGCTATTTATGTTAGCAAAGAAGTGAAGGCAGGTAAATGAGTAAAACTAAATGTACTATTAATATTTCACATTAATCATCACAAAACTTATTTAAAAAATTAAATAACAAGTTTAAAAAGCAGCACAACAATGTAAAAAGTGCAAAGCTATTGTTTAATACATTAGTTTGAGCTGACTAGATAACTGATATCATTTATCAATGATGATGATAGTTGATATGAGAGTAATAATGACAATGGTGATGATGATGATGGCTATGATCATTATCATCATTATCATCAAATAAAATACATTACCAAGTAATCTATTTTAAAAAACGAAATTTTTAAACGCATTTTTTAAATGCATTGTTATTGTAGTGTAAAAAATGTAATTTCTTTTGAATAGTTACTTGATTTTATACTTATACATGATTATTATTTATAAAATTTATTGGAAAGACCTTAACAGTACTAATATAATTTAATGAATAAAAATTTGGATTTAATTCCTTTCTTATAATAAGAACAACAAAACATCAAAAACGAAAAATTTCAATGATAATAAAATACTAATACCTTATGAATTCTTTTCATAGCCATATTTGTTATTATTCCTTTACAATTCTAAAAAATTATTTTGTTTCTTTAAAATGCAGTCCACCTCGGTCGTTCTTAAAATAACTGAAAGTAAACTCCACCGTTTGGTTATTTTTGTATAGGTGAATCATAATCGGAGAAATCTTCATAATTCAGTTTGGGGTTGTCCATTAATTACGTCGACAATTTTCTGGTAATTTTTACCTCCTCTTTCCCCTTGTCAACCACTTTTCAAACTTTTAGAGACCTCCCTATAAAATTACGTTAATCTTTAATTACCCCTGCTTCCTTAAAAGAAACAAAAGAAAAATGAAAAGAAATCAAAAATATGTAAGAGTAGTAGTTTATAACTACAACAAAAAGTACTTCTTTAATTAATTAACATTTTTTTTTACAAGCAAATCCAAATCTTACTTTGTAGCTTGTAGATTTGGGAAGTAAAATCTTACAAAATCAGGGGTTATCCATTGATTACGTCAACAAAATAGGGGGATGGAGGGGGGGTCTGAACTTTTTTGACAATTGTTGACAAGGAGAGGGGGGGGGGGGAGATCAATTAAAGTTGATGTTAACAATTTTTTTTTTTTTCGAATTTCATTGCTTAAATTAAAAAAAACGGAAAGTTTGTAGCGTAGCTTCTTTGTAAAGGGAGGGGGGTAATTAAAAATTGACGTAATTTTATAGGCGGTCTCCGGAAATTTGACAAATTGTTGACAAGGGAGAGAGGGGAACGAAAAAATTTCAAAAAATTTGTTGACATAATTAATGGACAGCCCCTCAGCAAATTTCATCTAGCCATTCTACACTTAGCATCTCTCCATGAGCAATAATTGCCATGAGCTCTCTCTGCATTTTATCATCCACTCGCATTGGACAAAGTCTTTGTTGTTGGGGTGCATGTAGTATTTGACTGGACCTAGACATAAATTGTTGGTGCTGTTGAACATGCTTTCATTCAAAACATTCTAAAGACGTTCAAAAGACGTCCAAAACGTTCAAAAGACGTTTAAAAGATATCTTTTTTACATACAGTGCTTACTGGGAACATAAACATGGCAGAATTTACAGATCCGTTCAAACAATGACAACTGAATAGATGTAAAAAATATATATCAGATGGAAGAATTTGAAAAATTTTCGCCAATCAAGGTAGTATATTTTCAACTTTTATAGAATGAATACAGAAAGAGATGCAAAATCTATGTGATTTTATATTTGATACATCTGGTGCTTCAAGACCCTCATTAGTTTGACAGACTGGAATTGGTAAGGGGATTAGTCTATCAGCAATACTTTCAAAATACGAGCTTCTAATTGATTAGTAACAAGTTAAATTACAGCATTTGATAGTATGTAGACTAATTTGTAGAAAACACTGACTTGACCTTTGATTATTAAATTTTCAACTTCAAGCTCAGAATTTTCAGGCAAAATATATTATGCCACTGTTGGAAAAATATCTATACTTACTTGCTTTCAAACTTCTGAAAATGTTTTGCTAGCATATTTGAAGTTAAGTTTTTCTAACTCTTCGTTAATTGTTCTACCTTGTGTGTCAATGTAGCTTTTAAAATGTTCATGTAAAAAAATTAGTCCTGACAGTTATTGACTAAGAGGAGTCATTCCTCCTTCTATTTGATTAAACGCACTTCTACCAGATGAGTTCGTTGCTACAAACATAGCATCAATGTTTTGCTTTACAAAATGATGGAGTTCAACACCAATAACTTTTTGATACCTTGGATTCTCACAAGGATACATCCACAGACATAATAATAATCGGTTTGAATAATTTGTTGCTTGGATTCTTTGTAACAATGTCAAAAGTTTTCTTCCAATTCAAGTAACCTTTCATAATTTAGTCCATGGCTATAAGCTGATGATGAGCAATACTTGTCTGACCTGATGGTTATGAAAGTTGGGGCTAAATACGTTACGGCTTCCGGTTTACCTTAACCGTCTTTTTGCATTTCAATACCAGCATAAACAAGCGGTATGAGTTTATGAACTGCAATGGTTTACTTTTAAAAACCAATTGTTCACATTGCAATGCAATATGAACGATGGTTTTTAAAAGTAGTGACTGATCTTTAATTGTTGGTCGACCAGTTGTCTGTCGGATCTTTAATTTACTGCTGATATCAGAATTTTTAGCACAAATCTCCGCTAAAGTTTCTTTTTTCTTTTATCAAAATATCTTTTTTTGCTTTTCTTGTTAATACTTCTTTCGTTTGAGTTTTTTTTAAGCTCATCAACCTTAAATTTCTTTTCTTTTTGTTCCTTTTTCTAATCTGAACTTAAAACACCGCATTTTTTTCGTTTATACAAGCGAATCAAATCTCTCTTGAAGATGCTTATCTGTAGTTTGCTGCTTTGTGTTTTACAAATTTTTCATCACAAAGGAGGAGAGAGGTCACGTGCGTTGTCGGCCCTGCTTACTATGATGAATAATTCGTAACTAGTGAAGTTTTTACAACAAGCTGTTCAAAATCTTCTTTCACATACCAAGTTTATTTTTTTATTTTAAGTTATTATATTATGATTAATGGTTGCTAACTTAAAAAGTTTATATAAATAATCATCTGTAAATTATGAAATATTATGTTGTTTTTTTTTGCATGGATAACCCATCATTTGATAAGCACTGCTCCCAGGTAGAGGGTTTAGGTTGAAGGTGAAGATACCTGGGGTTTTTTTTGGCAGAAATATCAGAAAGACATATTCAAATAACATTAGCCGAAAATTTAAATTGTACCCGCTCCTAAATTGAAATTTCATGTTGTTGTTTTTTATTGGTAACTAATTATGTGCCGAAACTTTGTTGTCTATGGCACTACAGATAGTCTAATAAATTTCAAAATATAACAAGAATACATTTATTTCTTAGAATTAAATATGTTATATATATTTACATATATGTAAACTTATATATTTCAAATTTAAAATCTGTGTGTAAAGTATTTCATGTATTTTAGCAGGAAAAAACTAAATTTGAAAAAAAGTAAATGAATCGGAAAAGAAATCATCAGGAAAGCAAAGTTATAACTTGTCTTGGATGTTGCAACAAAAACAAACAATGTATACTCCTACACAATCCAGCTCAAATTTCTTTAAAAAATCTAGTAAGGAAACATGTAGATAAAGGTTTTGATGTTAAAGTGAACTCCTTTTTTATTGGAATGTGTCTGAAGTGCAAGACTACAATATATAAGAAAGATGTATTTATCTTTTTTTGTTTTTTTTTGTCATTTTAAATCTGTCACTTTTGTAAAAATAGTTTTAGTTTCTTAAACGCAAGATATGTAAAATATTTTTAAAGAAAGAAAAATCGTAAAAGTGCAGAAATCTCCTGGCAAAGAGGGAGAGTTACTATTTCAATGCTTGGCAGAATACAAGTAGTGTCTCAATTATGTCAATGTTCAATCTGTAGTTTGGCAAGGGACACTCAAAGTATCATAGAGATTAACCTAAGTGAGTTCATTGACCCCATCTTAAAAAAGTAGTCCAAATTCAAGTTCTTATACTGATGCCTCAATGTGTGGAGATTAGACACCCCTGCAATAGAAAATCAACTGCTATAAACTTCGAAAAAATTATTATGTCAAAAGATCTTAAACAGGTAACATCGAAAACTCTAAAAATAAATATTGAGGATGAAAAACAGGGTAAGGTTAAACTATCAACATGTGGAACATTATTACATTTAAACTTTGGAGAGATTATCTCCCCAAATAAGATTAGTTTAGACACAGTATTTAATATCAAAAAAACACGTGATCAACCTGAATGTGTTATTAAAAGTAAGTTGACTAAAATAAGAAAAGATGTTGTTAGATTAGGATTTGAAACCAATGTGGAGATTGGAGTGAATAGAAAGTCCCATTCACTAAATCAGTTTTATTGCATTCAGCAGGTGAAATTTCAGCAAGGTGCTAACCATACAGAGGTTCAAAAAGATGTAGTATATGTGGAAAATATACCTACGCATGTTGATGAAATATGCAAAGAGATATTGTTCTCCAAGAATCAATTGTGAGGATTGGTATCAACGGCAACAATCAGAAAAACTTGAGGCCAAATTGTCCACCTTTTGAATTTAGGCCAAATTGTCCACCTTCTCAATCTGCATGAATGGAATTACTTCCTTGCATCAGATCTTAAGCTTATCAATATCATACTAGGATGATCTGACCATGGTGAGAAAAACGCATGCGCGTTTTGTATTGGTGCAAAAGACAAATTAGAAGAATTTAGAACCTTTGGTAGTTTATCCCATCAGTATCAGCAATTTGTTGATGCAGGAAAACCACACAAGTTGATGCAGAACCTTCTTAATGTCATCAACCAATGCGTTTTTGATGAGAACCAAGACAGCCTTATATTGGATGTTATACCTTGACCAGAGCTGTGTCTCTATAAGCATATTATCACACAGGTGTCAAGAGTACTATTTTGAAATAAGACTTTAACTAAGTTCTTAAAAGAAATACCTCTTACTCAGCATGGCTACAATGGTGGAGGATTAGATGGACCTAATTGTCAAAAAGTTCTAAGGTCATTAGATGAGATGAAAACTGTAAGGCCGCTGAAATAGCAAGAGTGTATTAATACACTAAAAAAATTTAAAGCAGGTAAATATTATTATATAAAACATACTTATTAACATACTTGAAGATATTAATAAGTTGTATGATTTTATTTGTAGTGGCTGAGAGTTGTTTTGGAATGACATTAGATCCGTCTTATGGTTATAAAGTTAAAGCTTTTATCAATTCCATGGACTACATGAACAATTATGTTGAAGAAAGATTTAACGTCAGTATGTCACTTGGATGGAAATACCATATCATTAAATATCACTTGAAAGACTATTTGGAACGCCATTGAATATCTCTCGGTCTGATATCAGAACAAACCTTAAAAGCTGTTCACAAGAACGTTAATAAGACTATTAAGAGGTTTAGTGTCTCGGAAAGTAATTCTTCTCATGGAATAAAACTGAGAAGAATGGCTGAAACATACAGCTCAATAAGTGTATAAAGGTTATGAATTGGATATTAGTTGGTTAAGATTAAGAACTTGTATACATATA